AGCACTGGGTGAATTTTATTGCAAAAACGATGGGGAGAAAGTTAGCGTCATATATCTCTCTTGCTGGGCAGTGCTTTTAGATACTCAAGGGGCTCCATATCCCACTGCTCCATGTCTTGTATGCTGGATTTATAACACTGTGAAGCCCAGCTCTAGGGTTACATATAGGCTATCAGAGATGAGATAGGGAATTTGATTTTGCAATAATGATTACTTGTTGCTGGCGCCCACATTCCTGCAGGCTCTGCCTTTATTCCCAATACTACTGGCGAATAAAACTAATTCCAACTGCTACCTAATTTAGCAAAACTCATCTTTCACTTAAGGGAGAGAGGCCAAAAGAAGGGAGACAGGGATTCAGGAGAATTGAAAAGGTTGGCCATTTTTGCTATTATGTCTCAAGGATTTCTGCTTTCATTATCATGATTCCTTTGGGAATATTTTAATCTTTTAAACTTTTGTTTCTTTGTGGGGGGAATGAAAGCATTGCATCTTTTCCAGCCCAATGAGTTAATTTGATGGCTCATTCGTGCTGTCTCTTCCACTTCAAAGAGGACAGGTCCCTAGGGCTAGCCAATTGTATTATAGATCCTGCAGATTTGGCTTGCCACTCCTGCTGAGTGTCATCTGTCCTCGCAGTCTTGCAGTGGATAATTTTTATTCTCCCTAACATCTTCTGCTTGAGAAATTTGTGCCTGGCAGGCCTGTCTGTCCAAGTTAAGCTTGAAATACAGTAGCCATACAACTAATTTGACAAGGCATAGCTCTAAACAATAAGACCGCAGGCTTGCTTTGACCAAGATGAGAAACTTCCAACCACCTGATTACAAATTTCAAAGCTTCTTTGATGCAGTCCATGTACTAGTCTGTTCATGTGTTGTAAGTTATCCTTCCTCCATTGCCCTATTTTTCCTGACCTGCAATACACACATACCTCATCTTAAAGGCCCTTAGAGAGGTTTCACTCAGACTGGCCTCACGAGATTTCCAGTTTCTGACTGTTTTCACCACTTGACTTGAGCCCTGTCACTTGGATAAAAGAACTCCATAGTCGGCTCTTGTTACTGGATGCTGGGGAAATGGGTAATAGACACTGTGCTAAAGTGATGGTTCTCAGACTTCAGCATACATAGGAGTCACCTGGGCTTCTTAAAACAGATTTCTGGGCTCCAATTTAAGTTTCTGACTAAGAAGTTCTGGGGTGAGACCTGAGAATTCTAACACCTCCCCAAGTAATTGTAATGCTGTTGGTGAGGTGACCACACTATGAGAATCAGTGTACTCCATCTGTCCAAAGCTTAGTTGACAGTCAGACATAGAGCTACCTGCATGCATACAAGATCTCATGCTTTCATCTTTTTTTGCTCAGGTGAGTCCAATTTTCTCAGCATGTAACCATGTGATAATAGAGGTATCTGCATTCCAATGCATTCGCTCTGTCACAGGAGTACTTTCTCCTGCAGTAGCTCTCACAGTAAAGCTCTCTGTGTTCTCCACATGATGTAGTTACACCAGAAGCATCTCTAGGGGATGCTAGGAAGATTCAGTACAGGAAGATTCAGGATCAGACTATATCGTTGCTGCCAGCTAGAAGATCGATGATGCTAATCCACAGCATGCTAATTCACACCAAACTGACTTCCATGCCCAGTCTGCTGTAAGCCAAAAGCCAAAACCTTATGAGATTAATGTGTAGTAATTAGTATCTTACCCCAAAAGACTGCGAAATATTTTTTCCTCCCTTACTTTCACCAGTTTTTGCATTTTTAGTTTTTTTTAACCCTCTCAAAAACAGGTTAGACAAAAGGAGATAAGAAGTAATGCCAATAGAAATGTTCCTGAGGAAATCTCATGGTGTGGATTTGATAGAAAACAAAATAAATTTAGGGTGTCTGTGTGCCAAAACTGCTTATCCTTGATAGGCTTCTACTAAGGAATGAATTTTGATTTGATTCTCGATATACATGTAATTAAGTACTCATTTTTATGTTCTAGTTTTCACAAGATTTAATACTGCAAATAATTTTCCTCAAAGTCAGAACTTCTACCAAATTGACAATATCTCCATGATTTGGGTGTCTTGACTCTCACAAAGCACAATAATTGGAAAACTCCCTTAAAGATTCTGTGGTTATATTTGTGTCTGATATTGATTCTCCAAAAAATGATCTCATATAGAGATCATTTCTTAGAAGCATAAAAGTACTTGTGTATGGGGGGAGGGGGCAAAAAAAACCCCCACAGAATTCTTTTTTGGAGGGCCGGCCTCTAATACAGGATTCCTCTGCTAGGTAGCTGTTTTAGGAGCCCATCAGCGTCAGTGCATCTGTTAGCGTTGTGAGAGGCTGCGTTCTACTTCAGTGAATTTTTTTTGGAGATTCTTTCGAGGCGTTTGCCCATTTTATGATGGGTGATTTAGAAGTGCACCTGCCTGCACTGTCCTGAGTGTTCAGCAGTTTTTGACCAAAAACCACATGACCCTCACTAGCTGATTGGCTTTGCTATATAGTAGTTTGCCCTTATCTGAGGTTTCACTGTCTAGAGTTTCAGTTATTGGAAGTATAGAAGGATATTTTGAGAGACTGACCACATTCATATAACATATTACAGTAAATTGTTAAAATTGTTCTATTTTATTATTATTAAGCTCTTACTGCACCTACTGTGTAAATTAAACTTTATCATAGCATTTATGTATGTATTGGAAGAAATATAGTATATATAGGGTTTGATACTGTCTGAGGTTTCAGGCATCCACCAGGGTCTTGGACTACATCCCTCACAGTTAAGTGGGGTCTACCATATTGGAATGCACCAGCATTGAGTCAAATAACCAGGGCTCTGACCATGGCTCTTCTGTTCACCAATTATGAGTCCATCTTGTTGAAGCATATGGATCATTGTAAACCATCTAATATCCTTTCTCTGAGTGATGGGCATAATTTAAACACACACACACACAAACACAGTGCGTTAAAACAGCAAAGGCTTTTATTATTTTTCATATTACTGTGGGTTGATTTGGCAGTTTCTGGCTCCATGTGGCAGCACTGGCTCCACATGTCGTTCATGTGACGGAGTTCAACTGGCCAATGACTGGGCTGAAAGATCCAGGAGGGTTTCCCTCATATGTGCGGAGCCTAGGTGCTGACTGCTAGCGCGCCTCAGTTCTCGCATATTCAGCCTTTCTGTGCATGTGTTGTCTCATCTTCTAGTGCTTCTCCATATAATGGCCTTTCTCCAGCAGAATAGTCAGAACTTCCTGGCAATAGAGCAAAAGCAGTTGTCAGGTTTTTTAAGGCCCAAAAGTAGAATAGTAGCCATGCTCCATTGGTCAAAGCAAGGCACTAAGCCAGCCAAAATCAAGGGAAGGGAAAACATACTTCATCTCTCAATTTTCATTGTACAGGAATGGGAGGAATCATTGCAACCGTATTTGCAGATTCTACCACATTCTCTGACTCTCAGTTTCATCATCTGAAAATGATAGAGAGGTTGAAGAGATATATACTATGTGGTTTGCAATAGCATTTATTTGTTTGGTTTTTGAGTCAGAGTCTCACTGTCGCCTAGGCTGAGTGCAGTAGCAAGCTCATGACCATCACAACCTTGACCTGTTGGACTCAGGTGATCCTTCCACCTCAAGCTTCCAAGTAGCTGGAACTATAGGCACACGCCACCATGCCTGGCTAATTTTTTAATTTATTGTGGAGATGAGGTCTTGCCAAGTTGCCTAGGCTGGTCTTGAACCCGTGGGCTCAGGCAATCCTCTCACCTTCCAGCCTCCCAAAGTGCTGGGATTATAGGTGTGAATCACCATGTCTAGTCATCTTGTATTCTCAACAAGTCTTCTTGCTTTTCAAAAAATGATGTGCAACTCCGCAGTGGCTCCTGCATCTATCTTCATCCAGTCATTCTAAGGATCATAACTACTCTCTCCCTTTTTCCCTCCTGTCTTCCTTAACAGTCCTTATTCTCAAGGATTGCACAGGCTAGTGCTGAAGAAGGAATATGAACTAACATTTACTATAAAGGACCTGTAAATGATAGGATGGAGGGAGGTGGAACACACATGTGGGACACCTAGGGGTGAGAGGGTCAGAAAAGGCTTCCCCGGAGGAGGGAAATGTTTGTCCTCAGACCTCGTCTCTACAATTTAAAAAAAAAAAAGGAAAAAAAGATTAGCCGGGCATGGTGGCGCGTGCCTGTAGTTCCAGCTACTTGGAAGGCTGAGGCGAAAGGATCGTCTGAACCCAGCAGGTCGAGGCTGCGGTGGCTCCAGCCTGGGAGACAGAGTGAAACTCCGACTCAGAAAAAAATAAAGTATGCTTTTTTAAAAAAGAGCACAAGATGAACGTTATGAAATTTATCACACGGCAGCATTTAGCTACATGGCCAACCCTGTCTCTTCATGACTTCTCCAAACAAACCGGTCCCTTCCATAATTACATATATTTTATCCTAGCCCACATAGCAAATGGTTGACATTTTGTAAATACAAACGTCAGAACAGATGTTTTTTGTCTTTCGGAGGGCACGAGTCAGTCTGATAAGTAATTTTGGCAATTTATTTAACCCTGTTGTTTCAATTCTTAGAAAGAAATAAAACTAACCAGAGTTGCTATAATGACCAATTGGGGCAATGCACGTCAAAATGCTTTATAAAACATCGGTGGCAGCTAATAATATAATATATTTATACTACTACTGTTAGTAATATTCCATGACTGCACACTACCCCCTCCCCCAGCCACAGTGAGTTCTAGCAGGTTTAGAAGGAATAACAATTTTGGTTTTTCAGTCGTCTTTCAATTCCGACAGCATCTGCCCTAATCCAACATGGCGGCACTGGCTTCTGCTGATTCACACCCCTTGTTACGCTACAGGCGCCTTTCGGGAACCACCCTCAGGGTAGAGTCAACTTCTCCGACGCCTTGTGATGACGCAAAAACTCGGGGCGGGGTGCCTTGAAAGAGGGCGACCCAGATTTGCGCAGGCGCAACGGGGCCTCAGGTGGGCGGAACTGGTCGGGATGAGTGGCGGCGCGACAGAGACCCCTGCGGGTTGTGAGGCCGCCCTGAGCGGCGGCAACAAGAAGAGGGACTCGCTGGGGACCGCGTGCTCTGCGCACCTCATTATCAAGGGTACGGAGTGGCAGGGCTAGCATCCCCGGTGGATCGCACCGCAGCCCCACCTTCCCGGCGGCACTCTCTGACCCGGGCCGCGCCCCGGGCCGACTCTCCGCTCCCGGCCTGCGCGCGCGCCTTTGTGCGGGGTGGGGGAGTCGTGGTCGGTCCCCGCCTACTTCCCCGCGCCACATGTTTCCCAGTAGCAAGCAGCCGACCCAGCTCCTCTCGTTTCCGTGCTTTTGTCTTCCGCAGCCGGAGCCGTCAGGCCCGCCTCCTGATCCTCCCAAGCCTAGGACACCTGGGCAGAGCTTCTTTGGACAGTCTCGCGACCGACCTGTCATGCAAAGGGCTTAGCAATCGGGAGGCAGTCGCTTGAGAGTCGTGTGACAGGTTCCTTCATTTTACCAGCTCTTCCAGCCCCTTCTGCTTTTAGGTAGTGCGAGGAGTCAATGAGACACTTTATGAAAGCGCCTTAAAACTCAGGAAAGCGCCATGCACGTGTAGACGTGTTCATTGGTCCTGTGTGCTTTGAGCTGGGAGCAGGTTGCAACCTAGATTATTACAACCTCATTAGGTTTGATTCCCAAATCTCACAACAACCCTGTTTCCTCTGGGGTCTTTGCCAGTTAGATACTGCACTTTCTCATCGCCATATTCTTTTAACTTTGGTCTTAACTTTGGTCTTAACCACCCTCAGTGTGAAACCTTTATACGATACCAGAATCTCAGCACAACCAAGACGTTATCCTTTGGTTGCTGTATATTTCATTTTTACCTAATCATAGTTGACTGTGGCTGTTTTTAGACTTCATATTTCAGGTTGTCTGTAATTTAATTGTTAATTGTAAAATCAACATAAAATTTGTCATCTTAACTTTTAAGCTGTACAGTTCTGTGGCTTTACATAAGAACTCTTTTCCTCTTACAAAACTGAAATTCTGTATCCATTAAATATTAACTCCCATTTCCTCCTCCCCCAGGCAACCACCATCCCACTTCTGTCTCTGAATTTGACTACTCTAGGTACTTTATATAAATGGAGTCACACATTATTTATTCTTTTGTGAACGACTTTTTTCACTTACCATAATATTCTGTGTGCACCTGTGTTGTAGCATGTGTCAGAATTTTTGTGGGTATTCTTTCTCATTTATTTCAATAGCTTTAGGGGTTACAAATAGTTTTTGGTTACATGGATGCATTATATAGTGGCAAAAAGATCTGAACTTTGAGTGTACCCACCTCCCCACTTGTGCACATTGTGATTTTTTTATCCCTCCACCCCTTCCCACTTTCCACTTTGGGAGTTTCCTATATCCATTATACCATTCTCTGTGTCTTTGCAGATCCTTAGCTTAGCTTTCACTTAGAAGTGAGACCATGCGGTGTCTAGTTTCCTGGCTGCATTAGTTTGCTTAGGAGGATGTTCTCCAATTCCATCCAATTTGCTGCAGAAGACATTGCATTTTTTATGGCATAATTGTTCTTTTTAAAACTGAATAATCCATTATATGGATATACCACATTTTGTTTATTCATCTTTTGATGGGCACTTGGATTGCTTTCATGTTTTAGCCTTTGTTAATAATGCTGCTATGAACTTGGGTGTACAAATATATTTTCAAGTCCCTGCTTTCAGTTCTTTTGGGGTATATACCCAGAAGTGGGATTGCTGGATCGTATGGTAATTCTATTTTTAATTTTTTGAGAAACTACCATACCGTTTTTTGTATCAACTACATCATTTTATTTTCCCACATTAAAAGTGCAATAAGGTTCCATTTCTCTACATCTGCACCAACACTTGTTATTTTCTTTCTTTGGTAATAGTCATCCTGATTTGCATGAGATTGTGTCTTTGATTTTAATTTGCATGATTTTAATTTGCATGAGATTGTGTCTTTGATTTTGATTTGCATTTCCCTAATGTTTAGTGATATTAAGCATCTTTCCATATGCTTATTGGTCATTTGTATATCTTCTTTAGAGTAATGTCTATTCAAGTCCTTTGCGCTTTTTTTTCCCCCCAGAGACTGAGTTTCACTCTGTTGCCCAGCTGGAGTGCAGTGTCACCATCATAGCTCACTGTAACCTCAAACTCCTGGAGTCAGGCAATCCTCTTGTCTCAGCCTCCTGAGTAGCTGGGACTACAGGCATCTGCAATCCTGCCACGCTACTTTTTTTTTTTTTTTTTTTGAGTTGGCTTCTCACTCTGTCACCCAGGCTGGAGTGCAGTGGCAGGCTCACAGCCACCCCTTCGTCAACCTGCTGGGCTCCGGAGATCCTTCCGCCTCTGTCTTCCAAGTAGCCGGAACTACAGGCACACACTACCATGCCCAGCTAATTTTTTTTATTTATTGTAGAGATGAGGTCGCACCATGTTGTCCTGTCTGATCTTGAACACGCGGGCTCAGGCAGTCCTCTCGTCTTGACCTCCCAAAGTGCTGGGATTACAGGCTTGAGCCACTGCTCTTGGCCCATACTACTTTCAAAACATTTTTTTGTGGAGACGGAAGTCTTACTATATTGCTCAGGCTGGTCTTGAAATCCTAGCCTCACAGGATCCTCCTGCCCAGACCTCCCAAAGCGGTGGGATTACAGGCTTGAGTCGGCATACTTGGCCCCTTTGCTCATTTTTTACTCAAGTTTTTTTTGTTGTTGAGTTTTAGGAGTGCTTTATATATACTGGATGTATAAAGCAATTATATATAGTGCTTTTATTTATTTATTTTTTACTTACCATACTTTGCAAGATGTGTCTTGATAATATTCACTAGAATAGAGAGTTGAAATTTGTCCCATTGCATGTCTGCAAAAATAAAAAATTAGGGAACAGATTATCAATGAATAAAGATGAATAATACATATTCTTACTTGGAGATTTAATTTCTTCAGGAATTTTGAGATTTCCATTTTAAACAGCATATTTGTTACTAAGAAGAATTAATAGACTGACTCACCAAAGCAGTTAAAATTCAGAACTTTTTAAAAAGTTATAACTTTTCCAGCCTTATGAAGAAATAGAGACTTGAATGAACACTCACCACCCCAATGGTATAAATCATTAAAACCCCAATGGTGTGCCTTGCTCTAATTGCATTCGTTGCCCTCACTCCTCTCTGAAGGTAACCCCATCTTAGTGTTTGGTGTTTATCATTCTATTGCATTTCTTTATACTTTTATTGCTTCTGTGTGTGTCACAAAAAGAATTATCATTTTGCATAGTTTTAAAGTTTATGTAAATGGATTTAATCCTCCTAAAACTTCCTTTTTGTTTAACATTATATTTGTGGGATTTATCCATGTTGATAAATGTATCTCATTTATCATTTTTACTTGCTGACTTTTAGTATTTCACTGTATAAGTTATGTTTAAAGTGTTTCCTTTTTTCTTTTGATATTACACCTATGTTTTAGTAAGCATTTGTAATTTAATACCTTATTTATTTGTGCAGGTTTTTCTAGGTTTCATACCTAGGCATGAAATTGAATAGGTATACATGACTTCAGTTTTATTAGATATTGCCAAATTGTTCTCAGAAATCGTTGTATTACCTGAGTGCAGTAGCTCATGCCTGTAATACTGGCACTTCAGGAGGCTGAGGCAGGAAGATATCTTGAGCCCAAGGTCTGGAGACTGACAACCTGTGGGGAGAGGGGGAAGTAGTTGTACCCATTTATACACCCACTGGTTGTGGATCAGATTTCCTCTTAATCCATAATCTAAACTGGATTTTAACCTTCATCTATTGGTGGGGAGGGGAAGAGTAAAACAAGCTAGAGATTATGCCATTTAGCATGGATTAACCTGGAATTTCATTTTATCTTTATAGATCTTGGAGAAATTCACTCAAGGCTTTTGGATCACAGACCAGTTATTCAAGGTGAAACTCGTTACTTTGTAAAAGAATTTGAAGTGAGTATTTAAAATTTATTTTATAAAAATGCTTCCCTAATTATTATTGTGTTAATATACAAAAGGAAAATTTCTTAGTTTTAAAACCTGGTTTCAGTTCACGTGTTCATAAAATATACAAAGTAAAGATTATGAAGTGGTAAAAATGCTTGCTTTTTTTTTTTCTTTTTGATAGGCAAGGTCTTGCTATGTTTCCCATGCTGGTCTTGAACGCCTAGGCTCAAGCAGTCCTCCAGAGTAGCTAGGATTACAGATGTATGCCACTGTGCTCAGCTTAAAAATACTTGTTTTTAATGGGATATGTGTAAGAATAAACAGGAGATTTGGGTTTATGTTCTGGTGTCTACTCTAGAGTATTCAATGCCTGACAATCTTAGTTTTGTAGTCTATAAAATGAAATATAGTGAAAAAAAGAGATTTACATCTTGATAGGTCTGAGTTTTCCAGGCTCATTTTCTGTATATTTTTTTCTCAGTTGAGGCAGCAGTACCCACTCAAGAAAACTTGAGAATTATCCTTGGCTATTCCCTCACCAATTCACATTCAGGGCCCACATTCAGTGACCAAATCTTCTAGATTTTTACACTGGGTATGATAGGTGCAAGCTTCTTTTACAAAGTCAAACAAAATGTGTTGAGCACTTTGTGTGAGGCATAATGTCAGGAACTAATGATATACTGGTGAATAAGACGGACACCAGCCCACCCCTCATGAAGCCAGACAGTCTCACATTGCCTTGAAGACTGGTCTTTGTCATTGAAGAATGGTCTCTGAAGGGCTCAAGCATATTTTGTCAGTTAAGCTTGATTGTTTTTCTTGGAAAGTACTTGATCCGGTTTTTTCACACAATGGTCCTTCTAGTTGGTCTTCCCAGGCGTTTTGTGTAGCCCAGAGACCCCTATACGTCGGGCTCAGCTGTACATCGGGCTTGAACATTTCCCTTCAAGTTAGAAGGAAAAAGATGAAGGCATTTGAGAGACTTTAACTGTGAATGTATATCTGCATTGTTTACAATTCTTTTCCATATTTAATAAAAGTTGTCTTTGCCAGCGTGGCACAGCTGGACAGTGATAAGCGAGGAAGCAGCGCTGTCAGCCCCTCCTGGAAGTTTCACTTTTTCTGTACCATTTAGAAGTAGTTCACTTTAAGAAAAACTGACTGGTATTTAAAACCAAAGTTGTTGATATATTTAAAAGATTTAATATCTGGCAACAGTGACCTTTTTCTTTAGACACTTTTATTTGTAAAAGAAGGGAATAAGTGCCACATGGTGGCAGCATTGCGTAAATTATTGAAGTACATTTAGGCTATTTGAAGCTTTTTTTTTTTCTCGTTAGTATTTAAGGACAGTTGACTGTCTTTCTCCCTACTTTATATAAACTTTCCCCCCAAGTCCAATGAACATTAAGAACAGGCATTCAAAAGGGCCTCCCATTTCAGGCGGAATACTTCCCGTGAGTATTAAAGTAGTTGCATCACTAGGTAAACGCGTTGTCCTCTGTGCCACTATCTTTCTAGCTATAGAGGAGATGTCATGGCCTTTCTCATGTGGAGCAGAGCCAAGACTCATGTTAGTCAACAAATATTTATGAAGTGCTTATAGAGTATATAGTCCTGTATAAGTTTATTTATTTATTTTTTAGCAAACTTCATTCAGTGCTTTATTGACTAGTTATTGGGATAGGTAGGTATATCAGTAAACAATGTATTTAGTTACTAGTGTCTACAAAATAGTGGCTATAATGAATACTTATTTTTTTATCACAATACCTGGAGTTCAGATTTAAATAGCCTAAGTTTAGTATGGTGGCTCTACTGTCAACTTTTTCTTCCAACTTTGCCTTCTGTCTCCCTGTGATGCTGCCCTTATCTTTATGCCTATAAGGTTGCTTTGGGAGCTCCAGCCTCCGCATCTGTGATTCACATAGCAAAAAGAAAGGCAGGTGGGAAAGAGGTAGCAGTCACTATTACAGGCCCATTATCTCTCCAAATAAAATGTGGGTGTGGATAGCAAGAAAAAAGAGAATGGAGGCAGAAGTAATGTCACACCAGATATGTAAAAATAAGTAAGAAGCAATCTCTAACTCTAGGAAGTTTACAATCTAGGGAGAACAAAGTCATATTAACAGAGTCATGAAGATGTAATTATATGCTGAAATAAGCAGAGAGTACTTGAAAGTTCAGAGGAGGAGGCAACTCCAGAAACAACTCCTAACAGAGCTCTGAGGAAAATTTTCATAGAAGGAGTGATGTTTGGACTGAGAAAGAAAAATAGATGTTAGAGAAAATGGAAGAAATGTTGGTTAAAATTAAAGACCAAAAAAGGTGTTCAATAAGTGCAGTAATTACAGGACTTGTGAGGGATTATGTTAATGATTCCAATTCCAATGCTTCAGCTGATCAAGAGAAAATTCCTTAAATGGTAGCACAAACTAGATTTTTGCTTGACATCCTGATCTCTCCTTTTCAGTTAGATTATTAGAGAAACTGTCTGATTATTAAATATCAGGATAAAACATTATTACAATATCTGTCTAATATAGTATGGGATAAATGTATGTATACACAGTATGATTTTAAATCTTGTTGGACTGGCCAGTTTTGTGATTGAAAGAAAAATTTAAATTATTATATCAGTCTCTCATTTCCTCTGTAATACTTTCAAAGTACATCTTTAGTATAAATATTTATAGTAAGTATAGTCAACAGTATTTTTTATAATGGTTAATATTATTATATTAACATATAATTATAATATTATTTGCTAATACTTTAAGTACTTAGTGCCAGTCACTGTTTTTTTTTCAGTCACTGTTTTAAGCACATGACATGAGTACTTGTTAACAAATGCAAATCAAGAGAAATTAACCAGATATATAATTTTATTTAGTGTTATACATCAGAAACCAGACTTTATTGGTGCTGAACTTTGTTAGGAGAATTTTCACCCCAGAAACAATATACATCTATAAATAAAAGTTAGACTGTGTTCTTTCTTTGGTAATAGGTGTCAATAGTACTTCCCAGTTAAAAATGTCAGCATAAAAACAAGTGTATACAAGATGGTAAGTTTGAGGAAAAAGACGGTTTCTAACAGCCTATCTTGTGTAACATGGTCACAGGGTCTGTTTGTTGTTTAAATTAATTGTTGGGCTATTAGAGAGGTATAATGACTAATTTGCCTGCTACAAAAATAACCCTTTAAATAAGTGGTTCTTCACTCTTTTGATATTTTTCCCCCCAGAAAAATGAATGGAAGACATATGTATTCAATTTGACTACAATTTCAAGGGGAACCTGGCACCCCAAAGCCTATCTATAGGCCCCAGAATAAGAATCTACCCTCTGAACAGAGCTGCAGAGCTCCCCTCTCTTTTCCTAGTTGTCTTCGTCTGTGAATTGAGAGACCTTTTTTTGCATGTTAATAAATTAGTCTACCAGAGGAATTAAATATTTTACCCTGCTCTTGATTCTTCTAAATTATAATGCCATATGAAGAAGGTGGTTGCTTCCATGGCATAGCTTTATGTTTTGTTTTTCTCTTCTTGTATCTGTCTAAAAAAACAGAGCAACTAGGATAGTAAAGCCAAGCAACATCTATAGTAAAACCAACTGATACGGTATCCCCCAAAATACCAAATGACCAATGACAAAAGGCTCCTGTGGTATCAGAGCTTCCAGAGGATGAGGAGAGACTGCAGAGGGACTTGTGAAAGCCTTGAGTGCTAGAAAACTTCAAAATTCCCATCAAGCACATTTGGGACGCCTGATGGGTGTCTCAGTCTGGTTTGTGATGCTATAATAGAACTTCTGAAACTAGTTTATAATGAACAGAAATTTATTTGGCTTATAGTTCTGGAAGCTGGGAAGTCTAAGATCAAGGGCTGCCTCTGGCAAGGGCCTGTTTACTGTGTTACCCATGATGGAAGGCCGAAAGCAAGAGAAGAGGAGCGTGGAGTGCAAAAGGGGCTGAGCTAATGTTTGTAAGGAGCCCACTCTCACAGTAGTGGCATTTGATCCATCCTTGAGGGCAGGGCCCTCGTGGCCTAATCACCTGTCAGGCCCCACCTCCTGGCACTGTTGCCTTGGGGATTATGTTTCCAACACGAGTTTGGGGGATGCATTCAAACTATAGCAATGGACCATTTGGAGAACATCAGCAGAAACTGAGAGGGGACTTCTTAGGCTCCATCTTAACAAGTGAATGCTTGGGGGCTTTTGGAAAGTGCTGAAGTCTGGGGGCTTGATACTCACAAACCGAAACACCTTTCCAGGCTAATACTGTGCACTGTAGAGAAACCTTGAGAAACTACTTCATGAAACAGCAAAAAAGAGAGTTTAAAATTTTGAAATTAGAAAGACTGTTCTGATGCCCCCTCCCTTTTAAAAGTATTAGAAAACTAATTTCACTTAAAATTGTACAAGAGTCAGGCAACCCCCTTGGGTCCCCTCCCACTGTGGGAGCTTTTCTGTCTTCTCAATAAATCCTACTTTTTTAAAAAAAAAATTGAACAGCAGTCAAATCCCATACAAATTTATTAGAGGATAAAGAACAGAATAATGCCTCAAGGATATAAAGTAAGAAAGATATGACCACAAAAAAGTAAAAACTATACCATAATATTTTGCAATGAGCTTAGGTAGCATAAGAAAATTATAGAAGCAAAAATAGAACAATGTAAGTCAGAATTAGAAAAATTCAGAAATGATTGGATAAAATAAAAACAAAAACTAAAAGGTACAGTGAAAGAATTCAGGAAAAGGGAATTTCAATATTATTTTGGAAGTGAAAGCTAAACCAGAAGGAACATGAGTAAATGAACAAATGGATAATCCTTAAGTGAAATTGAAGTGAAAACTGAAATATGTGTGATAATAAATCCCTAGAGAAGAAAACCAGAACAATGTAATAGAACAAATGTAAAATATAAGTGTAAAAACTACAATTCAAGAAAATTTTCCTGAAATGAAGGTACTACTGAAATTATATTGAAGGGCAC